TAAATAAATTTTCCACTTTACTTGTACAATAAAAACGAAAAATATCTTCGTTTGCCTAGTAAAATTTTATATCCATTTACTTAACTTAAGTCTATGGAATATGTTAAGACTTTGTAAAAATTATTAATGTTATACGGTTAAATATATAAAAGCAATAATACAGAAAATACTTACAGGATAAGATATTAGAATTTATTATTAGAAGGGAGAAAAATCGAAAAAGATGTGCAAAATGTAGATATCTGCTTAAAGGATCTTCTTGATAAAGCAAACTTCAGAGTGTCTCGTTTTGCTGAAAGTGTCTCGAGATAATTTCTGTTTTAATCGAAGTTACAGTATAAGCTTTCACGACAAGTTATGGTTAATCAGGATTTTATTAATTGAAAAAAAAAAAAAAGAAAAAGAAAAGAAAAGATGAAACGAGAGCACTCGCGGGAAATATTCTCATAAAATCTTTTAATAATTTTGAAAAAACTTTAATAGATAATGAGATCTCGAATATGACGAAGTAGAAATATTTTAATCGAGGCGAATAAAAAGTAATTTAACTTGTTGAAGCAAAGGAAACCTCATATATTTTTAACGTAAAGTATAAAATGTTAAGAAGATAGGATATATATTGCTTATCAAGTTTCTTGACAGTTCTAATTTCCGGAAGAATTGAACTCACTTAACAGGTTATTGCTTACTTAATGAGAAGAAGTTTTAATTGCAAAGAAATTGAGGGAAAGAAAGGAATAAAAGATTGGATCAATTTTTATTAAATGAAAATGCATTTTAACGAATTTATATTACATTTTACATAATTTCAATTCAATGCTAAACTAGATCTACTCTTCAGAATATTCCTTAGAATAGAATAGATGAAAGTGTTGACTGTTTTGATCAGAACCATATTCACTGGAAAGAAACGAAAATAGAAGATAATTGTTTAAACGCTGAAAGCAATGAAAAATGCAATAAAATGGCGCTTTATCATAAATCAAATATTACTTAGAAAGTATCCCCTGCTATTTCCTACGCTTTCTACTAATTTTATATCGAAACGAAAAGCTTCGATCCAAGATTATCACTAGAATCGAAGAGCTGTAGGCATTTTGTATCTAAAATCGGATCTATTTTAAAATCGAAGTGTTTTACGATTTTAAAATATTTTAAAGATATTCTAAATTACATACTTTCTAAGTATTTAGAAAGCAACTATCTAAATCAATTCGCTCAAATTTCGATGTTGATCTCATAACCTAAAGTAAATCTTTCCTAGTTTCCCCTAGATTTTCTTGACCACGTAATTTTATATTCCCTGTTTCAATATAAAATATAACAATATTAATAAAATATTAATCCAATCCCAGTTAATCCAATCGAATTAATATTGATAAAAATATATAACTTTTTACAACCTTAATAACTTATAACCTATAATACATTATAAAAACACGAACTCTTCAAAAAATAAAGTTCGATCGATCGTCCGACTCGCTTCGCTTTTTTCAATTTCAAGAAAAAGAAAAAAAAAACAGAAGGAAAACGTACTCCGTCCCACGTTCATAACCCGACAAGAAGAGAGCTGGATCCACGATCGAAGATTCAGTACACTTTAATCGCATCTCGCGTTAGCCATCAGCCTCCCCTTGAACAGCAGCACCGAGTTTCGATTGACGCTAATCTCTGGTATCGACGGTGCCCGGTGCGATTACTACATCGTCGCGGGACAAGCGTGCAGGGACGGGCACTGGACGGGCCCCGTTTAATCGCGGCTCCGGGCCGCGAAAGAGAAAATGGCCGAGGTGGTAATGGCTAGCTCCGGAA